CTTGCTCATCAGCTGGCAATCAGGTTTCTACCAATGTAATAAAGTCAAACTTAGATATTTCGTTTTTGAAGTTAATATCATCCAGTTTGTTGCGTAAGCCTTCAACGTTAAAGGAGACGAATTTTAAGTACCTTTTTGATAACATATCTCCAATGAAGTGAAAAAAGAACAAAAAAAAAAAACAAACAAACAAGCAAACAAACAAAAACACTAACAAACTAAGAGAAAGAAAAAAAACAGGGAGAAAACGCTAATTTATGAAAGGGATTGGGGGAAAACAATAGAGGTAATAACCAAAAAACGTAACGCGTAACTGAAAAGGAAGCACTGATAAGTAGCACCCCCCCCACCCAAAAAAAAAAGAACAGCAACAACAACAACTATAGAGAAATATAGAAAACAGCGGGAAAAACCCTTGCACCGCTCAATACCGCACAATGAGGCCCAAACAAAGGGGAGGTTAGGTAAGTAGTTCTGTATATCAGATTTAGGTGTTAAAAATAGTAATTTCATAGCAGATACTAAATGTTAATATACCAGCGACATTGCTTGTCTTATTGGGTATACCGTCTGAGGAAAGGCAGGAGTTCCCAGACCCTGGACGTACTGGCGAGAAGACGCCAAGCCACTCAGGATGGAGCCATTGACTTTAAGTTGTTGTAGTACCTCTTTGATGATGTTGATATTGATCTCATGGTTTGGTGGGAATTCTTGTGAGTTGATCGGCTTCTCGCTTTTATTGGCTAGATCACGGTGACTTTCCTTAGCGCTCGCCTTTGCCTTCGGTTTTTTCTGAACGACACGAGGTTTCAGTGCACTCTTCGAAGCCTTATTCCTCTAATCAGATTGCTAGCAAGTTTGGGCATGCCGACAGTTCTTGAAAAATGCTTGTTGTCATACAAGCACCGTTTTTCTTTAAGATTTTCGTGAGATACTAAAAACACATTATCGGTATTGTTTAGGGCGGGGCGGCGGGGCGCCGGACGGCGGACGGCAATCAATACAGGGTGTCCCAAAAGTTCGTTCCTCTACTTTATAAGACTGTAATGTAGTACGATTGGAATTGGTAAGCAAATCGCTTAAACAAAAGTTGTGTCTTTCCATAGAATTTAATATTTTATACTTGTTGTGCCATCTTGTGACTCTAATATTCGATTTGTGTACTTCCGCGCCAAAGGTGCGCGTGCGCGAGTTCATTTTCCCGCCACATATTTTTTGTATTTTGCTGCCCGATTTGCTCAAACTCCTTCCTTGTTTTTTGTGGCTATCATGAAAGAAAAACCTCTAAACGCAAAAACGTTCAGCTGCGTGAGCTGCATCAAGTTCTGTGCGTGCCTGATCTGTCGTACAACCTGTTGAGCGTGTCAAAGGCGGCAAAAGCTGGAAAGGTAGTTAAGTTCACTGAGACTGGGTGTGAAATATTGGACTCAAACAAGAAGGTGATGGCTGTTGCTACTAGGGTGGAAAGCTTGTACCACCTGAACTGTCAGGCTCATAATGAACAAACCAATGCTGCTGTTAACAAGAGCAAAGAAACAAAGGAAGATACTTGGCATCGGTGATATGGCCACCTTGGAGTACGGAACCTGCAAAAGTTGGCCAAGGAAAAACTGGTTGATGACTTTGATTTCAATGCATCAAGAGAAACCACTTTCTGCGAGTCGTGCGTGGAAGGAAAACACCACAGAAGTAGGTTCCCAGTTGACGGAGGCAAGCGATCAAGTGAACCCCTGGGGTTGGTGCATAGTGATGTGAGTGGTAAGATGAATGCAACGTCCCTGAGAGGTGGAGAATACTTTCTTACATTTATTGATGACAATACCCTTCTTCACCTGGATATATGTCCTGAATCACAAGGATGAAGTCTTCCCATGTTTTCTAGAGTGGAAAGCTCAAGTGGACAGGTCTACAGGCAGAAAGCTGAAGACTCTGCGCACCGAAAGTGGTGGCGAGTATGTCTGAGCAGATTTTGAAAAGTGCTTGAAGAAAGAAGGAGTTCGACATGAGCTGACTGTAGCAAAAACTCCGGAGAAGAATGGTGTTGCTGAAAAGATGAACAGAACAGTAGTTGAAGCGGTGCGATCCATGCTGGCTGATGCTAGTGGTCTATCTCACTTTCACACTCATGTATGGGGGCATCATCACTCATTCCTTCAGTACTTGTAAACTGCACCTTAAGCAGTCTGGCAAAGTCCCCCAACCAGTGTTGTAAATTATCCCTGAAAAGCCCTGTGGGGAATGGATAATAAGATATTTACAATTTACAATTTACACATCGTTTCTGGGCTGAAGCACTGTCAGCAGCCGTGTACTTGCGAAATCGAAGTCCGACAACTATAGCGGAAGTGAAGACACCTTTTGAAGCCTGGACAGGACAGAAACCAAATGAGGGACACCTTAGAGTTTTCGGATGTGCTGTGTATGCTCATGTAGCTAAGAATGAGCGTCAGAAACTGAATGCAAAATCAAGGAAGTGTGTACTTCTAGGCTATGGGACTGAGAGAAAGGGTTACCGACTGTATGATCTAAGGCGCGAAAGAATCTTTTATAACCGGGATGCCGTGTTCGATGAATCAAGCCGCGGGATCGAGAAGGAGCAAAGTGTCCCAGAAAGAAACAGTGAGCGGTGTGTGGAATTGGACTTTCACGATGATGAGGAACATGTAGCTGATAAAGAACACACAACTGAAGAGGGAGCAGGACCAGTGTTGTGGAGATCAAATCGGGAGAAGAGAGCACCTGATTACTATGGAGACTGGGCAAGTATCACAAATGCTGAGTTAACTGAGCCAACGACCGTTAATGATGCACTGAGTAGCCCGGAGAAGGCGAAGTAGATGAATGCAATGTAGAAGGAAATTGAGTCCCTCCGAAAGAATGATGTTTGGGAGCTGGCGGATTTGCCAAAGGGGCGAAAAGTTGTTGGAAGCAAGTGGGTATTAAAGATCAAAACAGATGCCGAGGGATCTGTGGAACGTTTCAAAGCACGGCTTGTAGCCCAGGGTTTTTCTCAGAAACCTGGAATTGATTATGATGAGACATTTTCCCTTGTCGCCAGATTTGAATCAGTCAGAACAGTGATTGCGTTGGCGGTGCAAACTGATTTGAAGCTTAATGGTGATTTAAAACACGAGGTGTATATGAAACAGCCAGAGGGTTTTGTTGTTAAGGGTCAAGAGCATTTGGTCTACAAGTTGAAACGTAGTATCTATGGTTTAAAACAATAATCAAGATGCTGGAACTCAAGTGCTGGATCAGCACTTAAAGAAGCTTGGTTTTGTTCAATCGGTTAGTGACCGGTGCATCTATGTAGCCTCAGAAGGAGAGATGTTCATGATTGCCGTTCATGTGGACGATTTAGTGCTAGCTGCAAAAAGCGACAAGCGCATCGGGGACGTAAAGAAAGCTCTCGGTGATAAGTTTGAAGTGAAGGACATGGGAGAACTGCACCATTTTCTGGGAACCAAAGTGTTGCAGCACAAACAAAATGGAGACGTTTGGATTGGACAAGCAGCCCACACCCAAAAGGTCCTGCGCAAATTTAACATGGAGAATGCTAAGGCAGTTGATACCCCAGTAGACGCTAGCCCAAAACGTGTTAAGACGAACGAAGACTCAGAAAGCACTTACGGAGAGCAGTTTGAATCAGCGGTTGGAAGTCTTCTGTACCTGTCAACTACGACACGACCGGATATTACGTATGCAGTGAGTAATGTGGCCAAGTTTTGTGCAAACCTTGCCAAGGAACACTGGATTGCAGTCAAACGTATCATGCGCTATTTGGTTGGAACAATGTACTTAGGACTTCTCTATAAGAAGAATGAGTTAAAGAGTTGTGTAGGATTTTCGGATGCTGACTGGGCAGGAGACCTAGATGATCGCAAACCAACTTCCGGATCCATATTTCAGCTAACTGGTGCAGCAATCAGCTGGAGAAGTAAGAAACAGGCGTGTGTTACTCTCTCGTCTGAGGAAGCCGAATACAAAGCCTTAGCAAGTGCAGCGCAAGAAGCAGTCTGGGTGCGACAACTCCTGACTGATTAAAAGAAGCAACCCAGAAGAAGCAACAAGGATCTATGAAGACAACCAATCAGCGATTTGCTTGGCCAAGAACCATCAATTTCACGGGAGCGCAAAACACATTGGAATCAAGTACCATTTCATCAGGGAACAGGTGGAGAATGGAAATGTGGAGCTGAGCTACTGCCGTACAGAAGAAGTGGTTGCGGATATGCTTACTAAAGGCCTGGGTCGTGAACAGCTCAGGAAATTACGAAAGATGTCTGGATTGGATGAGATGCCGTCTTGTCCCACCTGCGAGTGAGAAGGAGTGTTGAGGAAGAAACACTCGCAAAAGAACAGACACGTTTACGCTGAGTACTTTGTTATGACTATTTGTTCATGTTAAGGACCCAACTAGGATATGACGTAATGTTTTCTAGAACTTTCTATGACAAGATAAGAACTGAATAAACAGGTTTTTTGTCTTCTGGTTATATAAGCAGTTTCAACATACCAGTGTGCGCTTTTTTGTCGTGAACCGATCTGTAACGGAGTTCTCTTAAGTTTCTGGTAGAAATTAAAGTTCAAGTTGCGTTTAAGAAACTTGTGGCTGTCACAGACGTTCAAGTTGAATCTTAACAGGAATTCTGACAAGTAATGAACATTATGAGGATAACTCAAACCGAAATAGTGACCGCGACCGTACAAATTTTGGTGCTGAGAAACAGTTGCGCCTGGAAGGGCCATCCATTGGAATTACGGGCTATGAACATGTAAAGGATAAATCGAGTCGAAGCAGTGACTTCGGCGGGAAACATTTACCTCTTAGCTATAACAACAGAAAGGTGAACAACACGGTTTCAGATACCGTGCAAGGGAAGGCTAAAAAACAGAAGTACGATTGTCCTGAAATTGTAGAAAAGCCAAGATTTCGCGAGATTGTCAAAGAGGCGTTGGTGTACTCGGTGTGGTTTGACGATCGAAAATCGCCGCATTTTATGCGAATTTTGTTGCTGTCCTTGAAAAAAACAGTTCCGTCGCTAACTTGCCTATTTAAAAGTGCATCAAAACAGGAAACTTTTGCCGTTGAAGCCTCGTTCTATAGGCACAACGAAAGTTACCAACGGCGCTTTGCATACTTTATAGCTTCCTGTGTTCTTCCACAACGTCTTGACAATATTCCATTCTTTGTGAACATTTCCGCAACATTAGCGGAACGAAGCGAGAGTAATGCATGGTCTTTCCAGTTCGTTCTATCGGTGATGAGAAAGGCAGAATTCAAAAGAAATATGGCATTTGTATCCCTCCTGTTCACGGTGAAATCTCTGTTGGAAACATTATTGAGTTTTTAGAACTCACGCAGATTTTGGGCGCTTCACATTTTACATTTTACGATTTATCAATGTCTGAGAGTGTGCGAAACGTCTTGAATTATTATCAAGATCTAGGTTTAGTGAGTGTCTTCCCATGGAATTTACCCTTGTACATTGGAAAAAACGATTTGTACTATTTTGGTCAACCATCGGCCATCTGGGAGTGTTTGTTTCGCTCTATGCGACATTTCGACTTTGTTGCGCTTCATGACTTGGATGAATTCATTGTACCCGTTCGCCATGAGAACATAACCGCATTGTTAGGTACATTCATAAGGAAAACCATTGTGGACACTGGTTTGAAAGCGTCCTTTTGGATCCTTCAACAGACCAAAACGGATCACATTTAATTAGTGCATCGTAGATCCGCGGAGAATTTTCGAGCAAGGAATATATCACATTAGCAAACCCATCGAAGAGTTCTACGAGGCCGATAAAGTTAATTGGGAAGTGGCGCGTGTCTTTCATTACAGAAAATGCCACGATTCACGTGCTGTGCATCAGCCTAGATGTTCTTCTTTCATAGTGGACAAAACTACGCAGAGATTTGGAGAGAATCTGATGCACAATTTTGAACTGAGAATGAATATTATACCTTTCCATTTATAAAATGGCAAAATACCTCACTGTCTAGTTAAACTAACCTAGGGGGAGCCTGGACCCTATATAAGCCCCAGGCTTCCCCGTCACCATCTTTTTCTGTGCATTTATGTAAATACAACAACCTGTAATGTGACAAGAACAAATAAATCGGAACGAAAAGCATCATTTTCTTTCTCTTCAAGAGATAAAGACCTGCGATCCTTGAGAGGAACACTCAACACCGTAATGGTTGGTAATGATTGTGTCAAAAATTAAACTGACTTCCACTTCAGATAGCTAGGAACTTGTTTACTGCATTCTTCATCGTACCTTAATAAGAACAACAACAAAAACAGCAAAAGCACCGTTAGATAGTTAGCAGAAGGATAGTGGTTTCAGGTAGCGACTTCGAAATCATTTCAAGCAAAGAACCACATTTTCAGAGACTGAGTAACAAATATCGCAAGAATAGCAAGACTAACAATCGAAATTTGTGGACTTCTCGGGGCCCTTTAGTTCTCAGGATTCTAAGTCTAGAATTTTGTTAAATTTGTTACTCCTGCTATTTTGCCATATTTGTTACTCAGTCTCTTTACAAAGCAAGAAAAATTCTTGTTACTTTTGCGATTTCTGCGAAATTTGCGGACTTCTCGAGGCAGTTCTTGGGCTTTTCTCTCTCTAAGTTTAGAATTTTGTTAAATTGGTCATTCATGCTACTCTTGCGATATTTGCTAGTGGGTGTCCACAAAATTTTCTTGTGATTACAGAATCATTTTTTTTGCTAAATTACGAAAACAATTTGCTAGCAAAAATGGCTCAAACCATTTGGTTTTCCAACCGGAATTCCGGTTTTCTTATGTAGATAAGTACCGCTGGACACTTTCCTAAGCGACCGGAAATTTCATCTCCGAATTTTGGGTGGTCGCATGTGTCAGGTTGCACTGTAAGTTACGATGGAACGAACTCAAACAGGGCCAAGGACACTTTGAATTGTAAAGAAATCATGAGACTTGAAATAAATTCAATTTGTAGTGTTTAACTGCCAAACAAAGTCTCCTTTCTTACTGTCAACGTGACCTGTGATTGGCAGATTGACGCTACACGTGGCACCGGTTGAGTTCGTTGTCCGATAAAACGACACAAATAATTGCTAGTTAAAATGACGATTGCAAATGCAGGGATTATGATCCCAGGTTTAAATATATCCCAAAATACCTTGCTATTTCATCGATGCCTTCAAACTCGAGCGTTACGTCATCACCAATGAGAACAAACGGCGCCCAGTACTTCACTGCGCTAAAGAGGTCAGATTCTCTCATGGATTTCATGGCTTTATTCAGGGCCTCACTGGCAATTCGTCCATGAACTAGTTGCTGGTAGAAAACTTTCATGAACTCCATAGTAGCTTCGTCGTCGATCGCCCACCCAGAAAAGCTCGTGCGATGCCGACCACACCCTCAGATTTGACTTCTCCCCGAGCACTCTGACAACAGCTAAGTACAACAAGTCTTGCCCTAATCTGCGCCTTTAAAACATCTTTCATAGTTAAGAGATAGTCCTCCCTGACTGGATTCACGAGTGAACGTGTTGTGTTAGGGGCCAAGGCAATTTCTCCTGTTTCCATTTTACCGTGAGCAGCAATGTGCACCAAAGCAACCGAGGAAATACGTCTCAAAACTTCATCTTTTGTTGCCTTCGCTCCAACGAGAGGTTCCGTTTGAAGTATTTCCCCAATCATCTGCACTTCTTTTTCGGCCCACTCTAACTGCCCTAGCCTAGCAGCGTTACCTCCTGTACCCACGGATCGCCGACGAGAAGAGCGCCGGTCTGGCTGTGCCAATCTGCTGAACAATTTTGGATGAATTACAGTCTACAAAGCGAGGGGAGCAGACGAATTCTAAACGTTTCACAGAGGTACTTTGATTTCAAGTCCATGAAAGCAGCATAAGGCGCCTAACACAGAGGTCCTTGTGGAACAATCACAACCTCATCGCCCTGGGTTAAGTCTCTTATAGGGTCTATGACAACATTGTAAAATGTTTGCGATGACTTTGTCTCAAAATATGAAGGATGAGACTTTGGCTTACTTCATCTTTTCTCTGCTAACTTCTTATCGCTTGGGTTACTTAATCAGCGATCTTCACAATTAACATCAGCTCTTACACCTATTTCTTTACGTGTAGCCTCCAATAGAGACTGAAAATAGGTTGTGACGGACATATCAATCTCAGTTCTTCTAGTTTTGATTTCATTTCCTTTCTCGTTCACCCAGAAAACTATTCCTCCCTCGGTGATACCCATGAAAGCTGTATTTGGTGGTAAGTAACTAGCAAAGTCACTTGGTCTTGCAGAAAGTGTTCCTATCTATGGGCGTAATCCTTTAAGGCCATAATTGAGCTTGTGCACGTCCTTGATCAGCAGTTAAAAGTGCCTCAATGACTTTAACTTCCTTAAACTGCAGCTCCCACAGCCTCAAATTGATATGATCATACGTACTTTTAAGGGTAATCTTCCATTCGTCGTTACATATGAGATTTCTCCTAATGTGGTCGAAGGCTCTAACACTGTTCTTATAACATGGAACGGCTTTCTGGAAATCTTCAAGCCTGTTATAGGCGTTGCCAAGATTAACGTACGCTATTCTTTCTCCTGCCTTGTCTCCTACTTCTGTAGAAATTTTGAGGTTTCGTTCATGGTACTCTATGGCTTTCTGGAAATCTCCAAGAGTGTGATAGGCGTTGCCAAGATTACCGCACGCTTTTCCTCCTCCTGCCCTGTCTCCCACTTCTTTCGAAATTTTGAGGTGTCGTTCATGGTACTCTATGGCTTTCCGGAAATCTCCCAGATTGTAATAGGCGATGCCTAGGGTGTGCTGGAAATCTTTAAAGTTGACAAAGGGGTCGCCAATATTACCATTAATAGCTGTGGTTGTCATGTTTGTTTTTGCTCGCTTTGCTATTTCAGCTCTGCCACATATTGTGGCTTCTTTTTTCTGCTGATACCATTTCTCTTTATATACGATAACGAAGAGGGTCTGAAAAGTAAAATTAAAAGCTGGAGTAAAAGCTTATTTATTAGCTCCTTTACTATTCGTTTTTGTCTATCACAGTCGCATTTGATTTGCCTCAAAAAGGGATCCTTCTAGGTGTTTTTCATCGTTGGATAATATGACTTGATGGACTGGGGTCTTCTTTAAAAAAGGAAAATATTAACATTCGTTTAGTGATAATGATCGAAATTAAAAAAACAACAACAAAGAAACAGATTTACCATTGTTTAAACATGGTGTATATATAGAGGATATTATTTGGCCGCGCGGAGATGGGAAAAGTCTCTTCGAGTGTTGAAAAATATTTCACTCGTTTGCTGCGCTCACTCCTGAAATTTTTTTTTTCAACACTAGAAGAGAAATTTCGTATCTCCAAGCAACCACGTCATGTTCTATTTATTATATAAAAACCAATGAAGTACCAACCATTTCACTTAAATAGTTTTTTGGTCTCAAAGGTGCGGTTTATTATGAGGCTAACTCAAAGATGACATTTTCACATGTGAAGATAACATGTTATTTTCACATGTGAAGATATCAAGTTTTCGCGCGAAAGTTCACTTGGTATTTCATTGGTGTTTATACAATAAAAATTGTCTATCTACTCATTATACAATCATCTACCTTCCACTGAAAAAATAAATTTGTTGTCTACAAACTACAAAGCGGGCCAGCGGAAACATTTCAGAAAATTCAAATTTCATAGGCTCATAGGGACAAAACACTTCCCAGAATCCAAAATAATTCCCAGAATCCAAAAGTGTTTTGGATTCTGGGAAGTGTTTAGGCGAAGTGTTTTTGGATTCTGGCACGTGTTTTGTCTCTACGAGCCGCCGTATAAAGGAACCTTAAGTGTAACTTCAGCCTATGCAATACGTACCTCAGTTATAAATTCCCAAATAGTCTGGATACTTCGCCTGATTTGTCACGACCAAAGGATCTACGAGCAAATCATATTTTGTAAGACAGGTTTAAGTATAAAAGTCACTGATTGCATTTTCCTTCACAAATAACAGGAACTTGTACAAAACCTACATAAAGCAACAATCAACCCCTCTATCAAGAAATTGTTGAACCTATGGGATTTTCCCTTCCGTTATAATTTAAAAGCTTTCCGTTTCACTTTGATCGACTAAATTACGTCAACAAAAGTGATGTAAGTGCTCCCAGAAACAGCTCCCAAAATGCAGCCATCCAGGAAAATTTGAAAACTAATGAAGCATATGAGGGGTCACATTAATTGTAATATACAGTTGTTAATATTTCTCTGAACAAATTAACAAAAAACTCACAAAACGATCTTATAACAGATGCTGTAGACTGATGGAATCTTCCACTGAGGAAGTTGGTCTGAGACTTTGTTTTTCTCTGAATATACTGCCGGATATGATTCGTGCAGGATGAGTGCCCTTCTAACGAGGTTCAGTCACTTTGTGTGTGATTCGACTTGAAGTAAAATGGAATTTCAATTGACATCGCAGATGTGCTGTCATATGTCCTACCCCTGGGACTTGCTTGACAACCGGTCTGGTGACAAATTTAACTCGTAATATTGCGAAAGATAGTTTTTCCTCAAACTCCTCCCAACTTTATATATCCGCTAAAATTTTTTCACGTTGATATGAATTCACTACAAGAGATTGTAGTGTATTGAGGCAGTTTGCCGTTTTTAATCCTCCACTAATAACGTGGTATCAAATTACCCACCTCTTCCTCCCCTCCTTCCTTCCAATCCCTTACTCCTTTAGACAAATTCTCGCTTTCCGTGCTCATCAGTAAGCAAACAGCTCGGAGTTTTTCTCCCCCCAGGGTGGGAACTCATTGATGGTTCTGTTTTACCATTATCGATACAGTAAAAACCCGCGTATAACAACTTAGATTTTAAGAACCACATCCACGCTGGATTTCCATTGACCGTATGTGCAATTCCTTGTTTGTTGTTACGTAAGCATTGAAACTACCATTCAAAGAGTACGGAATTGAATCCTTTTAAACAAATCGTTTGTAATAAGAAATATTAAATAACCGACGACGAAACTTCTAGACCATAAATAAGCGAAAGGGATGATCGAAGGGAACTGTTTAGCGGTTAACCGACTCAAATGATCACAGACGGATAACTATCACTCGGAGAATTAACAGATTACAGCAATCACAGAGGTATAAGAATCTTTGTTATCTAATGTAAACTCCCTGTGCAAATGGCAAAGTGTCCCAACAATTTTGACTGAGACTGTAGCAGACTTCCGGTGAAAAAGTTAAGATTTCGTCTGTTACAGAAAAGAAGAAAGGTAAGGGTATCTGTACGGAAGGGTATCCGGAAAAATATCATTTCTTACTATTCCTCCGCATTCACAACTAATCCACAACCACGACACCGAAGTGTACGCTCCCATACCGTCTTGATTTTTCTTCGATCAGGGTACGGTAGCTGAAAATTGTGTCTTGCCATCTCCAAATATAAACGATCGTGCCGACTTCGAATGATCTAAAGCTCGTCAGAAAAAATCCGAGCGAATAAAGCCAAGGGCATTTCTTAATCAACTGAGGTGTAACTGAAGCTAACGTATTAAATGCATACCTCAGCTGTAAATTCCCGAATCTTGATAGTTCGCAAGACTACAGCAGTGGGTCCTTGATTCGTGACGACAAAAGGGTCTTCGAGGAAATGATACTTTGTAAGACAAGTTTATGTAAAAAAGTCAATTGAATTTTCCTTCACAAGTGAAATAACTGACCTGCACAAAACTAACCTGAGCGTCAATCAAAACTTTTACCAAGGGAAAGATGAATCTTGTATGAGGGATTTTTCCCTTCATTTAGCTTTCAGTTTTACCATAGTTAATTAAAGTGGAATGGTTGGGAAACCTCTTGTTATAGGTTTTTGTTAGCTATTTTGGACCTGACAATGCACAACGCTCAATAGCATTCCTATCATTTTAAACTTACTGAACAATAGAAACATTGCATTAATTTATTCAGTCACAATCTGTGAACAAAAACCAAAGGATTGTGCACGGTCAGGGAGCTTCAACATAACCTACAGCACTATTAATTTCAACTTTGATGTTTGCCGGGTTTCCTAATCAGTCTCTTGTACTAACTATGGTTTCACTTTGATCAAGCTACGTGTGACGTCAACAAAAGTGACGGAAGTGCTTACAGAAATAGCTCCCAAAATGCAAGCAACCATGACAATTTATACAGCATACGAAGCGTGAAATCTAATATACAGTTATCAACAGTATCTCTGAACAAAAAAACGAAACGCTATAAAAAAGGTCTTTAAACGGATGATGTAGACTACGGAAGCCCAGGGGGGCCACATAGTGATTTCGCTTTTATTTTTCACTTTTCCATTTTTCCAAAATGGCGAAGTAAAAATCAAAAAGTTAAAAACAAAAATGGAAAAGTGAAAAATAAAAAAGAAATCTTTATGTCGCCCCCTCCAGGGCTTGCGTAGACAACTGATGGAACCTTCTGCAAAGATACTCCATTAGAGTATCACATAAGTGATACACTAATGGAGTTGCACTGGCTACCAGTGGAGCAAAGAATAATCTTTAAGATTAATCTTATTTGTTTTAAGATACTCAACAATTTAGCTCCTGATTATTTGGTTGACCTAATCCATGTTTATGAACCTGCGAGGTGCCTTCGATCATCTTCAGACAAGTGGCGTCTTGTTATTAAGCCCTATAACTTAAAGACATACGGTTTCAGGGCTTTTTCAGTCATTGCCCCTATACTCTGGAACGATTTGCCTATTGACATTAGATCGATCGATAATGTAAATAAGTTTAAATCTAAATTGAAGACCTTTCTTTTTAAACGAGTTTATGAACTATCTTAGGTTTTTAAATTTGTATTTTTGTGACTATGTATATATGTATATATATGTAATGATTTTAAGATTTGTTTTTTATTCAGACCTTTCTGAAGTATTGTAAAGCGCTTAGCACTGAAAAGTATAAGCGCTATATAAATATTTTATTATTATTATTATTAAGTTGGTCTGATTCTTCCTGTTTTTCTCCGAAAACTGCTGAATACTGATATGCCTTGTGATTGACCCTCTGACGTGGCTCACACTGTATGAGTGTGTGTGGGAGTTTTTTGGAAGTACAGTCACCTCCCTTTATAGCGGACACTGTAGGGGCCTTGAGTTAGT